GCCGTAACACGTCCCTTTTGCAAGTACACGCGTCCACACAGTTCAGCAGATATAAAACGGCTAACGACACGTCCTTTGTGCTGGCGCTTTACCTTTGTTTTACTTTGTAAAACGCTTTACCAACACGTCTCTTGTGCTGGCGACACCGGACCACTCTGCTAGAGCCCTCAGTGCCGGTGGTCCGCTAACTTGCCTCGCATGCTGCGCCAGGTGTCGCACCGGTGTCCGCTGGAGCCGGGCGGCTTCATCATCGTGCCGACGACGTTCGAGCCGTGCCAGGAGGCACAGTTCACGCTGCGCGTCTTCTCACTGAACGCGGTGAAGCTGCGCTACATCGACACCACGCCAGCCGTGCTGCGCAACCCCATCCTCAAGGTACGCCACAGGGAGCCGCCGTCTGTGCTGTGCAACCCCATCATCGAGGTACGCCGTCAGAGGGCGCTGCCTGCGCTGCACAACCCCATCCTCAAGGTACGCCGCCGGAGCTCGCTGCCTGCGCTGTGCATACCCATCCTCAATGTACGCCGCAGGGAGCCACCGCCTGTGCTGTGCAGCCCCATCCTCAAGGTACGCCACAGGGAGCCACCGCCTGTGCTGTGCAACCCTATCCTCAAGGTACGCCGCCAGAGGGCGCTGCCTGCGCAGCACAAACCCATCCTCAAGGTACGCCGCCAGAGGGCGCTGCCTGCGCTGCACAACCCTATCCTCAGGGTGCACCGCCGGAGCTCGCTGCCTGCACCGTGGCGTGTACCGAGTGCAGCTGCGGACGTCCGATAGTGCGGTAATGTGGCTGTAAGTGCTGGTGTCCGATGTGTGTGTGTGTGCACGCGTGTACTAGTGTTGGTGATAATAGACGACTGTGTTGGGATATCAGAAGCATTTTTGGAATGATAAGGTCAGATGACTGGATGCTGACGAAGCCCAGTTGGGGACTGGATTAATTTTTACTTCTGCTGGGTTGGCAGCTCGTCATAGCTAACTTGACACATGTTGAGTGATAAACCATGGCATCAGAATGCCAGTGCTGCCCACCTATGCCATGGTGGTTACGGACCTGCTCGTACTTTGTTTGAGACCGGTTTTGTCCGCACGCGTTTTCTGTCTTTTGCTTTGGGTGGGGGCGGGCACAGGCTATGAAAACACGTGTGCGTCATAAAGATATCCTTCAGACCCAGTCAGACGTGCTATTTTTCTTCTGCGTATCGCGTTATTTCACACTGCGATGTTATTTTGCTTCATTTTTCCAGGCCCCTTCGAGTGTCGATGGCAAGGGCTTCAACCAGTATGAGGCCGTCTTCCTACAGCTAGCCGACGAGCACAAGACTGTCAACGCCTTTGAGCTGCAGGAGCTGCTGGAGGCTTGTCTACCGAATGGTGAGGTTAATCCTTGTTCAACGAGGCTAGGGAATCATAACAGGCCTCATGATGTCTTTGGGAATAGCTCTTAGAATACTAAACGGTTGGTGCTGACAGTTGCATTTCACGCCTACGAAAAATTGAAGACCCATCTTGCATAAGCTACAAATGAATGGCGAACAGGTAATAATAGACCTCATCTTTTGTAGACCAGGAACGATAACTTGACCAGGACCAGGAACCTGACGTGTCACGTTTACCGCACGACCTGCTTTCTAAATGCCATGTTGGTATTCATTTCCCGTGCTCACGCGATCTGACGACGCGATTTCATAAAACATACTTGGTTCAGGTATCTGGGGTCAATACAGGTGCATGGCCGAGATATATAAGTAGGTACATAAAAATATTGAACCTTTCATCAGATACTTTGGCACTCATTATAGCGCATAAGCCGAAGCTTGATTCAGTTTTATTGCTATTTGTGGTCGTTTGCTCCGTCGTCGCATCACGCTTGGATAACGTGTTGATGAGCCTGCACACAGGGCTCTGCCCAGATGACCTGGCTTACCACATCACAAGTCGCACCCAGCGATGGGCGGCTATCGGTGGGCTGGGATGTCTAGTGTTAAAAGCTGCACGACAACATGCTCCACGCTCTCATAACAAGCATAGTCTTGAAGGTGCCACAGAGGTCTCCATTCACTACCGTTATCCAGATAACCTGGTTCTGCTCACCAAAGGTCACACCTACACTGATGTTTCTTGATTATGCAGTGTTGCAAGAGCTTTCCGATGCTTGTTCCACTCGACTCAACACTTAGTGTTTGGCTTTTGAGATAGCGAGGTCTTCAGAGGTATCTGATGAAGGTCATAAATACGTGCACTAGTGAGGGTTACGAACATTTGACACCGGGAGTGAGGGGAAAATAGCGGTGGCGCACAGAACGGTACGGAAAGAGCTGGCTTGGTGCGCAGTTGATGCACGCTTCGGAACGCCTTTGCAATGGTCCTTTAACATGGGGACTTCATTGTGAATTGCCTTCGAACCAAAACATCCAAGACACCTTGGTAAAAGGGTATTGGTAATTTTGGGCGTTGGTAAAATTTACGTTGGTTTATCTTAAACGGGGAAGCCTCCGATGTGCACCACTACGCGGACGTGTTAAGCAATGCAATCTTGATACTCCGTCAAAGTTGCATGACGTGGATGAACCTTTGCTTTGAGACCGCTAACCTCAGATATCGTGCTGGGTAGCAGAGCAGCAATAGTTCGTGCGCGATTTCCACCCATCTCATATGCCAAGGTACATCGTTGTTCGGGTTTAACGCATCCAACATGACCCATCTCTCCATCTATCCATCCATCTCTCCCATCTCTCGTCTCGAATCCGTATCTCGCAGCGTGGGCGAGGAGCGGAGGTTTTCACTGGCTCTGCTAACAGGCATTGCTTCCAATCTAGGGATATGGGTGTGAGGGGAGGCGACAAATATCGTGCGCAGCGGTGCAGAGGCCCAGCAAGGCGGGAGCCGCACCCTCTGACACGTCCTTCCGCTTCAGACTACATCAAGAGCTGCGCCACGATCGGCGTTTGTCGCCAGATCATCTTCGCCATGGACGTCACCATGTTCGGCCGACTCAGCTTCAACGACTTCAAGGATCTCATGTGCAGTCTGAAGCTCTGGCAGGGCGTGTTCAAGAACCACACGAAGGAGAAGACGGGCGTGCTCAAGGCTGAGCGGTGAGAGGCGACATCATGACCCGCCGCCGCTCGGTGTCTTTGTTCGATAACACTGGATACCTGTTCATCATCAGGTTCTCATGACGTTGATGGTGCCCCGCAGATATCGTGCCAAATGTGTAGTCGAAATTACGACGTCAGCGATTTAGCCGCCAGTAACTTCTATGGCTGTAAAGATACACCGGGGCGAAAGGTGTGGAGAGAGCAGCGTACTTGTCCGCACTCGCCGACGTGCTCAGCTGAACGGTCACGAGTTATTTAATATCGCTGTGGGTTAGGTGTGGCTAAGCTAAGAGAGCAATCACCACACAACCGTCCAGCGTAGGGTTCAAACCTGACTCGAGGACAGAGTTTTATCCCCCCCCCCCAGAAATCGGTGCGAGAGCTTCCGATTCTAGATGGCATTAGCCGTTGAATGCGTGGTTAAACCCCACTAACCACAGTTAATGCCGCTGCCATATTATGGCGCTCTTATAAAAGTGCGCTGCCTGACTTACAAATTCTGCATCCTCCGAGCCAATTCTCCGTTGGCTCACCGGCCGCCTGCAGCATCTCGACCCCCAACGTCCCGAAGTGCCCCCCCCCCCTCCCAGCATTGTCTCAACTGTGTCGCTTCCAGCGACTGCAGCAAGGTCGGCGACGTGACGTTAGCGCCGCCGCCGTAACGTCACTGGCACCGTCACCAGGTTCCGGGACGCGCTGGCCGAAGTCGGCTTCCAGCTGAGCACGGACGTGATGACGGTGCTGACGCAGCGGTACCGGCGCAAGGACGGCACCCTGCGCTTCGGCGACTTCGTGGGCGCCGTCCTCCAGCTGTGCGTGGCGTTCGAGGTGTTCGACAAGAAGGACCCGCAGCAGAGCGGCATCGTCAAGCTGAACATCTCCGAGGTGAGGGCCCTGCGCCGCGCGGGGAGCGGCGGAGCGGGGCTTGCGGGAGGTCGGAGCGGTGTGGACGAGTCCCGGTTATTTGCTGGGCTGTGACTTGTCACCGGCCCCGCGTGAGCTGCTAAAGTGCACGGCTACATAATGCAGTGCCTGCCGTAAAACATGCAAGCGGATGATGATGGTTGGATGCCGAAGCAAACGCCGACACATTGCTTCAGAATCTGTTTACTACATTAAGGCCTCGTCGAGGCGTACAGGAGCCTCCCACGTTCAGTGTCCATGCTTGTATTATACTCCCTAGTAACCAATGCTTCCGAGAATGTGCCGGCTCCCGCTAATTAACTGTCCATTCCTTTCCAGTGGTTGAAAGGTGCTCTTTCCTGCTGAACGTGCCGGCGGTTCCCGAAGGAAACGCGACCTGCTGAAGCCGTGTACATAGTTCACCTGTGTAGGATAGAACTGCGACATCCCTGTACTGACATTATTTTAATAAAAAGAGAGCATGAAACCAGTTTTTTTCTGACCATCCTCGTCACACCAGTGCTGTGCTGCATGCCGTTAGTAAATTGCGAAGATCAATTAATGCGACCCGCGCCTGATTTGGCGAAACACCTATTAGCTTAGGACAAAAGGTTGTGATAAAATGTAAGCCTACATAGTTTCATTTCGTGGCTGATTTATATTGAGAAGGGTTTTCGATGTCGCGCCAGTAATTTCTGCACTGCGCGCTGTGCCGGCTCAGCTAGCGACAGCTGACTGACTGCTTTTCATCAGCGCATCTCTTTCACCTAGAACAATCGTTCACTCTCTTCACTCTCACCGTTGTGTTTCGCCGGCAGCCGCCAGCGCTAAACAGCGGATGGCACAAATCTTAAGGAGGGATAGAAGGTCAGACATGTGTAGAACGGCAACGCGCTATATCAAAGGGCAGCAACATCTTTTTAAATAAAACAACACTTAGCAAACGGTGAATTTATTCCCGTCCTCCCACGTAATACTTGCAATTCATCACGCGAGGTCGGTCTCGTCATCCGGACAAGGGTTCTGCATACTACCGGCCGCCCCTTGTCCCAGCGGCTCGGTCCGCCACCGAGTTCACCACACCGTGAACAAAACCCGACACCGTCGGACCGCGCGCCGTCTGCCCCGGCCGGTGCGGTCTGCGCATGCGTCGACCGGCGCCACTCGAACGCCGGGCCGCGCCCCGGACCTTGGCAGGCTGTGGCAGTGGGCGCGATACGCGACACATCCACACGTGGTCTGCAACCGCCCTCGGGCGACCCCCGAGCGCACGCCTACTGGAACCCACGCCATCACAGCTACGGTGAGTAATTGCACTTGCGGACGCGCCGCGGCCGCCCGGGTCGCGCGCGCACCCGACTGACTAGAGCCTCCTGGCGGCCACCTCCCGAGCCGCGGCCCCGGGGGACCAGCGTCGCCGCCGCACCTGACGACCAGCGCCAATCTAGGAATACAGCCGTCGGCAGCGACCGTGTCGCGGGACGAGCCGCCTCACGAAACCCCAGCACCCTGCCCCCGTCCGCGGCGCCGCACGTTACCGCGGCGGCTCTGTCGTAATGGCGCGCGGCGCCGGGCACAGAGCTGTCCCTCAGCGTCAGTGCGAGGTCGCGAGAGGCGCCGCCTCCCATCTCCCTCCCTACCGGTCACATAGGCTCACACACCGGCCCACGGCCGCCGCACCGTCGCGTCGCGCGCCTCAGCGCCGCCGCTCGGTGCCCGCTCGTCCGCTCGCTCGCATTCGCGCCGTCGCGTCGGCGGGCGTGATCACGGATAATTTTGACGCCCCGGGGCCGCGGCGCGCCGCGCGACGAGCGGCCGCCCGCGTCCGGCCGGCGGCGTCGCCGTCTTTGTACTGGCGTCTACGGGCGCCGGCGGCGGCCCTACCCGTACTCCTGCAGCACCGTCTTCAGCACCGAGATCAGGCTCTCGACGCCGAAGATGAAGCCCTGGTCGGGCCCGCTGTGCTGCACCGGATCATCGAAGTCTTTGTGCGTGGCGTGCGCGAAGTCGATCATCCTCACGTCGACGTCGACGCGCGCCGAGCTCTCGGGCACGTCGTGCCGCGGCTCCTGGCCGTCGTAGATGACCAGCAGCGACGAGGTGAAGAAGCGGAACGAATGCTGCCGTTGCAACACGTCGCGGAGCTCGGACAGCCGCGCGATCATCGCCCCCAGCAGGTCGGTGCGCAGCACTGAGCCGTTGTCGATGAACTGGCAGAGCGCCTGCTTGAAGCCGTCCACGGCCAGCTTCCGGCCGTAGTACTTGTTGCGGCAGATGAAGCGGGAGAGGTTTACTTGGTACACCTGCCGGAGGGGGGCGGAGGGGAGGTGAGTCGGGGTGGCGAACAGTACGGTCGTTCTTCTCGTAACATGATAAGGCACATCGTAAGCGTCAACGACCTCAGCAGAGATGTTGCAGTAACTTGCCAACAAACTTGATGCAAACCAACCGAAAATTCCAACCAACCAGTCGAGAATTTCGCCATAAGAGAGCAACGACTGCTCGTTCACAGCGCACGGGACAATGCCGAGCAATAGCCGCGCATGATAATCACAGACGTAATAGAGTTATCACCTGCATGCCGTTAATGCGGACGCCGAGGCTGGACGAGGTGGTCGTCGCCACCTTGACCTTCTTGCGCTGCTGCTTCGCCGCCGAGTCGTCGTCGGCGTACTGGCGCGTGCCCATCTTGAGGTCCAGTACGCAGGGGTACTGGTACTTGTGGGTCAGGTTCTCCAGCAGGATGTACTCTGGCGACGTGGCCGTCGTCAGGCGCGATCGCACCGCGCTGATGTGTCGGTAGGATGGTAGCACGGGTGACACATTATTGAGAACTAAACGTTGCGTCGCGTCGTGGCATGGAAGCGCGGACGACGTGCACCACAAACAAACTGCGTTTGTGGCTTTGTGACTGTGACTGGGGATACAGCGAGTGAAATAATCGCAGCAGTGCCAACCGCCCTCCTGTGTGAGCACCAGGTAAAGAGAGATCTGGTATTGGATCAGCAATCGCCACGCCATCATCCCAAATCAATACCCGCCACGCGCGCTCGAAGTAAGGTCTTTGAGCTCTTAAGGCCTTTGGGCTCTTAAAAGATGCAACTTCCCACACAATGATCCGTATGTGCACTGCCACAAATGCAAAGGAAGATCTACACAAGCCCACCATCACAGTTCTGCACAAAGGGTTTACAAATTACCGAAGCCCCAATCCAGCTGCAGCCCACAACGGCCGCCGCTCACAGCGCCCTCCCGGACAGCACGGATCGGCCAGGCGGCGGCACCTACTCTGCGAGGGTGGACGGCTGCAGCCGGCGTCCGGCTGACCGGCCGACGAGAGCGCGTCGGCCGCCAGCCGCGTTAGGTCGCTGCGGCCGCAGCGCAGCAGCCAGGGGTTGTGTGGCACGCGCCCGGCGGCACCCGGCTCGTCCTGACGCTGGTCGGCCTCCTCGAACACCTGGCTCTGCTTGTGCTCGCCCTCGATCTCCAGGCTGCCAGACGGCCGCATCCGGATCCTGCGGAAGGAGGCCAAAGGTAAGGAGACGGGTGTGCAGGACCATCCGGATCCTGCGGCGGCAGGCCAAAGGTAAGGAGACGGGTGTGCAGGACCATCCGGATCCTACGGCAACAGGCCAGAGGTAAGGAGACGGGTGTGCAGGACCATCCGGATCCTACGGCAACAGGCCAGAGGTAAGGAGACACGTGCGTGGGACACATCCGGAATCGGCGGCGGCGGGGAGGCGGAGACGTCAGACAGGTCCGTGTGCACGGACCGATCAGTGCGTACAGGTTCACGGTTCACATCCGGCCCCGCCGCGACCGTGAGGTGGAGACGGGCCCGAGCCGTGCACAGGGGTGCGCTGCATGCGGCTGGATCGCAGCGTGCACCGAATCCGGGGGCAGGCGGGCCTAAGGGGACCGTCCCCGTAGCAGTCGGCACAAGGACGCGACAAGTCTTACATACATTAACAGAGGCGTATACAAGGGAACGATACCGGCCCCACGACCCTCCCTCAGCAAATTCGGGGTCCCATGGAATAGGAAAAGCCAAAATATACAGCTCAAAAGCGCGCCTAGATGCTCTAAGGGTTCCATCTGCCTAGCGCGACCTTCTCCTGCAGATTCGGTGAGTAGCCGGAGTTGACCACTGGCAATGTCGACATTCCAGCAATATGGCGGTGAGGAGAACCGACGTAAGCGCGGCGATACCGTAGAAGACCTCGCGAGGGCCCAAGTGCCGCCTTTCTAGTGGTCCCATTGCCCACTACGGAAAACAACGACGTAAAGTAAGAAGATCCAAGCAAAAAACAAAAAAAGAAAGAACTGATGGCTCGTAGTTGCCCAGCTGTTCGAGTGACGCCTTCTGAGAAAAATACGGCCGGACCAGGGGGGAGGGGGTCGAAGTAACGGTCCACTTCTCACAAAAATCCTGCGAGCATCTCGTTGTGCAGATGGCGGCAAGGCACATACATGCAAGTATCCACGCACGCACGCACGCACGCACGCACGCACGCACGCACGCACGCACGCACGCACGCACACACACCCACACACACACCCACACCCACACACACACACCCACACCCACACCCACACCCACACCCACACCCACACACACACACACACAAATACATCATATCGTGTAAATGAAAAGCCGTATACGTACGAGTAAACGTAAGTGTTCAAATGCACACAAATACGGAAGCGTCGCAAAACTGAAGAAAAAAACACTATAAAAAACCCAAACCGCTAGGTTGCAACCATACACAGTGGGCATGTACAGGAAGCCCGTCGCCAAGACATACAACCAGCAGGCTGGGACCGGCTGTTACAATCTTTGCAGACGTCACACGGGAAGGGCCTTTGCACGCGTGAGGTTTGCAGCAAGACAGCTAAATATGCCGCTTTATCAAAAACAAAATGTCGTCCAACTATACGCGTGCTTCGCAGGAGCACACCAAACCAGACACAGCAAACATCGATGCATTAGGTCCACACAGTTAAAAAACGTCGTCTGCGCTTACCTTCGTTTTGTTCGCGACTCGTTGCGCTGGGCGGGGAACTTTCGTTCGTAGCTCTTCGGTGGATACGCCATTAGCGTGACGTAACCGTCGGCATCCTCCACGAAATTAACCTGCACAACAAGAACGGCGGTGGAGCGGCGCTGGGACGGAGGCTCGCCGGCTCCAGCGACTCTAGCGACGCCTTCACTTCATTTGGCCAAGTGAATGACGCTCTAAATGCATCACAGACAGAAATGCAAGAAACAGTTCACTGGTGTTCACGGACACGAGCTTAGCCTAGAAACCTGCTTCTAAGCAACTTCTTAGTCCTACGACCGCATCTTATGATCTTGTGTAAGATTGCGACGGTTCGTCACCATCACAACTGAGGAAAGTATGCTTTTTGATGAGCGCCAGGCCGGCCAGCATCAGTCGCCATCAGGAGAGAAGCAAATAAAGAGAAAAAATATGTTCATGCAGACGACGGTCAATGACCATGACCGACAAATTGGCAGTAAATCATCGTTCTGGAAAGATAGACCAACAAGATAGGAGACGCGACGGGCCTCTGTTTGGTGAGCTTGGAAAAGCTAGTCTCGTTCATTCCAACAACCGTCATCACTATGCATCCTTATCACGCCGCATCCTGTTTCTTTTTCAACGATCAAAATGCATCTTTACTTTGGCACAAAAGGAACGGCCGTTACTGTTTTATGGGGCTCAACGATGAGTCACAAACTGGGTTCCCAGATTCAGTCAGTATGGTGGCAAGGATGCAAAATGAAATTTATGCTGTCCGACGCAATCCTACCGCAGCTCCGAATGGACAGCTCAGGTGATTTGCCACCACTCAGCTAGGCTCCGGACTAATGGCGCATGCTGACAGTGACCTGCCTGACCGATTGGTATTACCTTGGGCGACCAGACACACACTTGATGGCAGCCTTCGCCCAGTGCCCATGGGTGATCCCGGGAGAGGAAAGGAATAATACGGCTTTCGCCAACAGCTGACTCCAGTAGCATGAATTAAGATTTACATTCTTGCCAATTAGCTGGATGAATTCGGAAACACTGGCCACCATGATCTCTTTGACTTATTGGCTAGTGCGCCCGTCTCGTGTCAAAAGAGGGTTACTGACGGCACGGATCACGGACACATCACCACATGTGCTGAACGCCACCAAATTATTTTGTGTTCATCCGACAATGAGAAGTATCATTTACCACGGGCGACCGTGACACGACCTCGAGAGCACGTTCCAGATCCCGCCGTGCCACCTGAGCCTCAGCGTCTGCGACAAAACAGCTCCATTTTGGGGATACACTTTGTGGGAGGGAACGATGTCAGCGCAGCTCCCTCCATGCATCCGGAACGACCGGATAAGAGGTGCAGCAATTGCAGCTGAATAAATCGCAACAGATGGTACTAACGACATGGCTTGATCAGCCGATACCTTTAACGAACGTCGCATTGCTATGCCATAACACGACCTACCCATAGCCCTATGCCATTATCCACGTGCCGAAGCGGCATCTACCAAGAGAATCTGACTAAAGCACACCATCGCGAACAGACAACAGATCACACATTACCAGAGGCAGGCCGTTAGCTTCTCACTCTAAGCGCAACCACAACGGTGCACGCAGCCGGCGCGGGCGGCCGGCGCCGGCCGTGCCGAGTCGGCCGGCCGTGCGCGGACCTACCTCGATGACGCCCTTGTACTCGGGCGCGAACTGCTTCATCTGCTCGGGCATGCTCTCGTAGAAGTGGAGCTCGCGCGTGATCAGCGGCTTGCAGACGGTGATCTCGTCCAGCGAGAACATGTGGCTGTGGCCGCCCACCTGGTGGATGAACGGCTCCAGCTGCGGACAGCAGCCGGGCGGTCAGCAACCGCTCACGGCGGGCGGGACAGGAGAGGCGCGGACCGGGGTAAATACTGGCTCAAAGCGGGCGGGACGGGACAGGGACGGACGGGGATTATTGCACACCCAGACCCTCCTGGTGCTGCATTGCAAACATTGTGCATTGAAAGTATGCCGTGAACACTTCACTTCCAAAGATCAAAAGTCTAGTACCATGTGATCGAATACTCTTACGACCTGGTCTGCCCAATTGGGACAAGTCGAGATTTCATTGCGATGCATTCGGTACCACGCTTCCTCGAGGTTATTTCTCATGAGTGTGGGGGGGGGGGGGCACCCGCAAGGTTCCACCACGCAGTGCCGGGGTCGCAATATGCTTCATATGACACCCTTTCAGCCCTGCTACCTCTCTTGTTGCAATATAACATGTACAGTCTCACTAAGAGAGACGAGCGTACTCACGTGGATGGGTTCCGATGTCTTATCCTCCGCCATCACCGGTGAGGTACATGGAGGATTTTGTCTGAAAACCAATGAAATACATGCTTTAAGGTGTGTGAGGTATTCTACCTGGGAACTTATCAAACATGTGCCAGCTGATCAGAAAGGTGGACATAGCAAAGTGTGTTGTAAAGAGGCCTGGAGGATGCCACAGGATATCAGGTTGGTAACAAAAAAAAAAAAAAAAAAAAATGGTGAGGCCACAGGCCAAGGGGCATCAATTGAGTAGGAATGGCATTTTCAATTTGAGCAACCTAACCCAGCCCATCTGTCAAGCTTTCTAGCAGCTTAAATCTTTCCAATCACTAAACACAGCGTGATGCAGTTTTTGGCTAAAATGCAGGCAATTTCAAAATTTGCACTGTACATTTAATGCCCAAGGCCACAAAAGAGCTTGTTCCAGCATCAACCAATCAGACATTTCTTTATTTCAATGGTCCCCTACAGATCGACCTGTCAGACCACTTCAGATTTACCAGTCGTGGGATGACTTCAACCACTGGCATCAGACCACACACAACAAAAATGTGAAAACAGCTGTGCTTGTAGGTGAAAAGGGCATCTACAAAACACAAGGCAACTCCAACAATGTCTGACCAACCACGATGTCAGCAATCCACCAGGAAATAACAATTACATTTCTAAATACTGATGGGTTTGTACACAACACATTGGTCACAAACACAGGAAATGTAAACTTTTTCAAGTTGATAATTTCTATCTGCTAAAATAAATGGGACTCAAAATGGCCAAAAGTCAGACAATTCTGAAACATTGCCATTTGCAAATTGCTATGCAAATAGTTCATGTCATTGAATCTCCCAAATAAATTCATGGAAGATCAGCATTCCATTTCAATGATGGGATCTATTGGTTTGAGTTTTATAAGGTGACTTGAGCTCCATACCATATGTTCAGTTATATATGGTGCTATCACTCATATCATATCACTCATATTCCTTACTGGCTCACTCATTCAACAACACATACATAACTTTACTGGTTATGTAGCTACTTTTTCAAAGATGGTGCAAATGAGGTCACTCATAAATTACATTACACATGGAGATACTTTTGTGGATCATACCAGAAAGGTAACAAGGGAGGGAAAGGCAGTTTTGGAAATCACAAAGCTATGCTCAAGTCTGGTTGTAAATCATGCTATAATATTTATGAACAAGTCAAGCCTGGATGCCGATGCCTTGTTCTGATGACAAGAAACACACTCATAATTTGTTTCACACATGTTGCTTAACTCAGGGCAAAATGGGTATAACTTTAAAGGGGCCAGGGAGAGTGTTTCACCCTATGTAACGAAGGGGTGAAAAATGACTTGAATTTAGTACAAAATGCAAAATAAAATTTTTCAATGTCAAAAATTTCATTTCTTTGATTAAGAGCCATATCCTCTAAGTTTTCTTGGAGAGGCTTGGTTCAGTACACCAAATCTTTAATCTAATCAAAATTTATGCACAAGCAGTGAAAACCTTCATTAATTGCATGCTTCACTACACGCACACTATGTCATCACAGGTCCAGGAGACCTTGAGCTGAAATTAACATGATATAAGTGAGAGGAACTTATCTTATCCATACAAAAACCATGAGAATGTCCAAAATTTGTCTTGATACATGATAGCATGAAAACAACCAGTGGGTGAGGAAAACAAATTCATAATGTTAGAAAGAGCCAAAGCTTTATGAACCACATGTGGCAGGCACAAATATTACAAAAATGTGTTCAGCAAGACAAAATTGATGACCAAATATTGGGAATGCTTGGGAAACACACAAACAATAAGAATAACAAAAGACAGCATGAAAACCATGTGAAGGAACTATAGCTATCTGCATCCCAGTTGATTTTTAAAAAAATTATTTAATGTCCATGCCTCTGGGTCAGCATGATTTATTAAATACATAACATTAAGATATGTTTGGTAGAAAAAACCAAATGTTCAGCTCATCAACTTTGACAAAAATTTACATAGGTAAAGGTTATTTATATTTTGCCATTGATGAACATCTAAAAGGTTCTGCCTCATCAATTTTGTTGCCTTTTTCATTAATCAGATACAGCCATGCATATATGCGTGAATAAATAATACTCATTTTGTATATATTTTGACCATCAAATAACCCCTATTAAGATATGTGAGTAAAATTCATAGCAAACTTTCATTTTAATGTGACATCTTTATCTTAGGCAATTCTTCCTTTCCATCATTAAAATGCAAAAAATTGACCTAAACATGGGCCCCATAGAAAGCCAGCAACAAATGACAGCACCATAATTATGACAGACCTTCATCCACAATAGCACCTGAAGAAAAATAGCAGAGGTGGCAACATCTCAGGTATTCAGAGCTTTTTGAGGCTCACCAACCATTCCCAGGAAACATCATTCCTTGATTATTGTAGGAACATAGAACAAAAACTTTTTGGTAAGCCCAATCTCTTGATGACTTGTGCCCCAAAAATTTGCATCAGCATGTCTTTTTAGGGACGCCTGACACGCTTTGCCAACACAAAACCTTATTACGGGTATCAACATGATCATAACAAATACCCACCAAAACAACGAATTGGTTGAGAATCAACGCATCGTCATGTATAGTTGTTTGCCAGTTGACAAATGCGCACAAGCTGTTGATGCGTTTGCAGCGGAGGTTGGGCTACGATTTGCGAGATCTGCTGTGGTCTTTCAAGTCACAACTGAGAAAATCTTAGTGCACCCCCTGAACGCAATGCGAGCCCCTCAAATATCGAATGACCACTTTGTAAGATCTTTTCGGTTGTGGGTAGTTGTATTGCGACACATCAAGTAGTTTTGTAACCTAAGGTCGGTAAAAGCAGTTTTTGTCTTAAAATAAATATCTAGGATAAATAAATGGATCGAAACAAGTTTTCGTTATCAATGGAAGCTAATTTTCTAAGACATTTTCTCCTTTTGACGAAAAAATATATAACTAAAATCTGAGGACAGAAGGATCGACTACTTACAGATGATCAGCTGATCGATAGCGACCACGCAAAAAATCAGCTGATCACGAAGCTGTTGCGTGTGCGAAACAGGACCTTTCGAGACAATTTATTGCGCGAAGAGGTACCGCGTGCGAGGGCGGTGTGGCCCGCGCCCTGCTGGCCCCGCTCTCGCGTTCCGGCGGGTCCTCTCGTCGATTGTCCCTGTAGTAACGATGGGCTGTCGTGGCGGGTGAGGAATGTGGTAGTGTTTGACGGAGAAGGCTGACCGCAGCATTTGCGACACTTCGCCGGGTGATACGGCTTTGTGGGGATCGGGTTTAGTGTGCGTGACTGGCGGAGGAATTTCAAAGATTTGAGCCTTGGCGGTGCCGACTGAAGCTGCTATGAGGATGGTGGTATTTTGTACGGGGTTCTTATAAACTTTGCGAAGAAGACAGCTTTTCCATAATGAAGGACAAACCTAATTCAATCAGAACTTATGATGCTGAAGGCTATCGTCTGCGTGCTGCTGGTGTATGTGTGAAGGATGAGGAAGAGAAGGAGGTAAGTTTGGTACCATGGATGCAATAGGTAGCTGTGTCACGGATAACTTTGTTGTAACATAACAATCAGAACACAACATGCACATGGTGTAAAATAACACAAGCATTTAATAGTGGTTTTTGTCATTTTTCAAGGTGACATTTGGTAGATAACTGTTTACTATGTCATGTTGTGGCACTCACCATCAAATTTTGCTGTTGGCCCAGACTTTCTTTAGGTAGAAGGGGCTCAGGTCTGATACTAAAAGTGTGTTTTGTGTCAGCTGTGATCTTGTAAATCCATCCATTTAAAATATTTGAACAAAATCTTGGAAACTGTTATATTATCAGCCAGACTCATTAATAAGCCAGTGACTAGGAGTTATTTGGTTGAACTGGGGGGAGGGAATTGTTTAGTTAAAGTATTCTCTGTCTGGAGTAAGGTTGAAGTTTGCTTTGCATTTCAAACAGCAAGAACAAAATGTAAATTTTGAACTGGACAACTGATCTGGAGACAAATTTCTGCCAAAAATTGGGACCCAACCCCATTTTCCACATCTCCCAAGCTGCAAGCATCCTTGGTAGGAACAAAGGAATGTACTACAAATGACCTGTCATGGCCTCTTTGAAATTGCTTTTCTTTTTATGCATCATTTATCACCTCAAGGGTAACATGAAATGTTCCTAGAAAATAGGCATACCATGGCTTTCCCCATCATACCTCCCCTCCCTCCATTCATGTGCCTTAGAGGTCAAGGTGGTGTTGCAGATGGAAATTTTAAATTTAAGTGAAATCAGTACATTTGTGGTCAGATGAATTTTGTGCACCAAAAGCAGTTTGGTGCAAACTATGTAGAACTTTGTTATAGTTTTCTTTATTCAAAAGCTGTAGCTTTTTGGAAAATGTTTTTTGTTGCACTGTAATAGTTTTACCATGCTCTTGGATATAATACAAGCATGGTGACACACAAATGTTACCTGATGCTCCTTTCATTATGGCAACATTTTGGTTCATATTGTTACAGTTGGAGGCAGTGCACACTGTTGTTGGTTTTATGCTTGTGTTGAATTTGTTGGGGCTGAAAAACTGTCATTCATAACTATAATTTTCTCTTTATTCTTATTCACTCACCTTATGAACCCTTTGTTCACTGTACCCATACCTCTGTCCCATGGCTAACATTGTGCTTTATAAGTTGAAAGTGCCACAAGAATTGTTCCTAAAATGACTTCACCTTGCTGCCAGGTGCTGAGGATGTGTTAAGAATTGGTTGTGCTTTTAGATGTACAGTTGCTCATGCTTGGTATTTCTCAACACTGATTAGCATCCCATGATTCCTTTTATATGATAGGATCTCAAAATGCACCTGATACTTCATCAACATTGAACAAATACAATTCAAGTGTGCCACAGGGCACACTGGGACTTTGGACCCACTGTCTGAACCCTTAACCAAACACCAAGGACTTTCTTACAGAAACTTCATACCATGCCTTGACCCATCTTGGTGCAGCCTGGCCCTTCAATTACAAGGTGTTCCCTCGCATTTGCTGTCGGTGCTGGATGCTATGTCAAATAGGTATACAAATTGAAGCATTGTGTTGCAAGCCTGTTGTGTAATGTGTGCCTTGGGCATGCTTCTGTCGGCGAATGCGAAGTGCTTTCTGGCAGACTTATGGGTGACAAGAGTGCAGAAGTCACAATCAGAACCACATTTACCCTCAAGGTGACAGGTACGCCTACCGCGCGCACTGACTGTTGCAGGTGCTACTTGTGTCATCGTCAAAGGAGCCCAACAAGTGGGTTGTGCCGGGCGGCGGTGTGGAGCCGGACGAGCAGCCGGACCGGGCCGCCGTCAGGGAGGTCCGCGAGGAGGCTGGGGTCGAGGGTCACCTGGGCCGGTGCCTGGGTGTGTTCGAGGTGAGCGTGAGTATTCCGGTTCCTACTCCGCCTCTCGATGAGACGCGAGGTGGTGAAGATGGCTGGGGCTTCGTCGCTGGGTAGCGCTGCAGAGGCTTAGCCGCCCACAAGGGATGCCTGCACGAATGTTCGGGGTTGAATAAGGACAACAGGACAGGAGTGTTCGGTGTCTGTAATGTCCATGCAAGGACTTTTTTGGAGAGGCGTTAATGTAGGAATGAACTTGCGAAGATTGGTGAATTCTTTAGATGTACTGGATTGTGCGAGTGGTAGTACTGATGTCTTTATATCAATCTATAGAACAAACACAAGAAACGTTTATGAATGCGTGGGTTACATCAATACGTCGATGACATTAACGGAGATGAACATGGTGTGCTATTACCGGTAAGTAGATGGGTTCGTTTCAACTGAAGTATGCCACTGAGAATGCTCTAAGTGTTCGACTTCAAACGTAACAGTTGAAATATCACGTTTTTGCGAGCAGTTTACATCCAGATCCGAACGATCAGACCAAGTATCAGTTTGCTGGTGCAATGAAACACAGGAGAAGACAGTGAAAAACATCAGTGACGAAGCAACCAGTCAAACGCCAATCACGTGCCGGTTGGCTATTATGTTCTGGAGACCCGTCGTCATACTTGTGCTACCGTCATATGTTTCAAAGGCAACCTCAAAGGGACCCCTCTCAGGCCTCGCGTGTTGCCGTTCGCGTCGGTCTCATCTCTGCGCAGTGTGTGACGCGTCCCTGGCGGTCGGCAGAACACGGAGAGGAAGCACCGCACGGCCGTGTACATCCTGGTGGTGACGTCCGAGCTTCCTGAGTGGGAGGACTCCGTGAACATCGGTGAGGCAGCCCACCGCCCGCGGTCCTCTTTCCTGGCGCGGGGGCACCGCACAAAAGTGGTGTTGCAGGTACACACGTTCGGGGATGGATCTTAACTAAAAGGCGGCGTCTGGGAGCGAGACTTGCGCACACAAAAATGAAGTCTCGGAGCGAGATGTGTGCACGTCCCAGCTAGGACTTCATGATGGGAGTATTACGCATGGCTATGCATTTTGCATAAACCTGCTGTGATAGCAAGTACCAGTTGATATTGATGTCAGTAGGCACGGATAAAGTGCCGAAACACGGGCATCTACATCAGCGACAGTTACTTGATTTTAAATTTCTTCTTCACATCCGTTGTTTCACGCGCTCCGTCATAACTGGAGCACACAGTGACTGAAGGTCGATCGGTTCACAACGTGACAGACGGTGCGTTGGACGCGATAGAAAGGTGTGGCAATGAACAAATACGGAATGCACGAACGCTGCCGACAAACCAGTTTAGACACGAGACAGGCGGGGCCGACTTGACGTGACGTGGTGTGCTCGTCACCCCTTGACAGTACGGTTAACGCCGGGTGAAGGTGGCCGCTCTCGTGGCATTGTGCTGACATTACAGCCCTCTAAGTGTTAAGGTCGAAACCGTTTTCTTCTGCCATATTATCAGTTGCCTTTCAGTGTTTTTGTGACGTCATTTTTGCGGCGTTATTCACACATCACCACGAATGTACGCGGCGCGAAAACCATGCCAACCAATCCCAGCACCAGGCGCAGGTCATGTGTTCAGAATATCACCGGTGAGCTCATGCAAGCCGCGGTGTTTTTGCTGTAAAGCCTGGCGATGGGCCTCGTGCTGGCCTCCAGCTCAGTGGACGCCTCTCCCTCGGACCCAGGAGCGTGCGATCAAAGCCGTCTGATGCAAAGCTTTTTTGGAGAGCTGAACAGGGCGGATGAACATGAACAAGGCCAGAGCACCGAGCCAGCACATGAACTAGAGCAGCTGTTGTGTTGAAAAGATATACCAGCTGTGGGATTTGTGGCAAATCTATCAGCCCCTAGTCCAGACATCTTTACGTCACATATCTAGTTCAGTTATTGTCAAATGCACTGGACATACCCGTGGAAATTCGGCGCGATCAGAGTAACGGCCGCAGAACGGCAGCTGGAGAGCCTTTTAAAGTCCACGCTGCGTGCATGTGTTTGGTAGTATACATAGAGCGCGTCACAAGATGTTATAGTGTTTGAGTCATCGATCCATCGAATCATTGTGATTTAACGTTTTTGCTTTCGACTTTTTCGCCTCGCGACCGTCATGTATTTTGTGTCTTTGCGTGGCATAAGGGCAGAAGACTGAGCGCACGTTGTTTTTGATAACCTGTACAATTTTTTCGGGGTTTAATGCTATTCTTGTATAAGCCGAACACCGCTAAATTGCATTACCCATCTTTTCCTTCTGGTGGGACATTCCACCACAGCTTAACATGCAAAATGTCAAATTGATAGCATCGCAACTCATGTTGTGTTAAGATAAGTGAAAAACGCTCTCTGATGCCCAGCTATTGATTCGTTAACTCAATCAGAGCGACTGCGACCGGGCTATATATAGGCTTCGGCATTTTGGAAGATCGTATGCTAAGTGACTATCTTTGGTCGCTTATGATGAAACCAGCTACATAGCGTGAGTGAATTATCGTTTGCAAAACACGAAGCGAGCTCAACGTCCAGCCCTTGGCAACGCTCGTAGTCCATCGAAATCCCAGGAATCGGCATCGCGTTTGTAAATTCGGTCGCAAATACCACGTGCCGGTGCCGACAACAGGAACGATTACAGCATGTTCGCTAGAAGGTCAAGTGAACACATACAGTATCGCACAGTAAAAAGAAAACAACAAAAAACAATATAATACATTCCAAATTTTTCGTTTTCGCCAACTGCCTTGGCTGAACTTGCCACGACCAGAGCTAGCTAATTTCCCAGCGATAACATCTGTAATTAGCGAGCGAACACTGCACGTTATGGAATTCTCATCTGCCACAGTTTAGCAGAGCGCTATCCCAATGCATTGACGGGCTTATTCGTGTGGGTTCTCAAGGACGAACGGCTCCATTCGCGTGTGTTGTGATTGTGCGCGGTCGATAAGACCCACATTCGCTAGCGCCTCGTTCGGTCTACGCCGCAAAAGGAATCTCGCTGGTACATATTTGTGTACCTGTATGTAGTGCTTCACATGCCGTACATGCCTGAGAAATTCGATTTTGTTTGCTCACGGTTCGGTGTTAATTGTAAACTCTTTGCCACATTTCACTAATTCCGGTTGTCAAAAGCCTTGGTGAAACAGGTCATTTAGGCGGTAGCTTTGATACAGGTAGATATATGGGTGAATGTGCTGACTCTCTGCCCACATTGTAGTGTGATCATTCACCACGAGTTTGTGCTATTAACGATCACATTGATTTCCATGTTTCATGAGCAGACACCATCTCGCCATTCACGCCCACGCGGCCCTTTTCGCCGCTCTGCCCCCGCTGTGGTGAGGGAATGACATTTCTCCCACAACTGGCAAACGGAATGACACAAATCAGCGGCGACATCGCAGTGATGGACTTTAGCGATGCCGCCCGGGCGGCTGCCTCGTCTGGTTAGCCGGGCGGGTGGCTGCTGCGACTGCCGGCTTCGCCCCTGAGTACGCCGTGTTAGCGGTCGGCACCGGTCATGTCGACCCGGATCACGGGCGTCACGACCGATCCCGCGTCACCCGCCCGGGTGTCACGACCGATCCCGCGTCACCCGCCCGGGACCGCGCGCGGGGCAGCGTCACCCGCAGAGGCGAGGGAGCCGCGGCGGGGCCGGGGAGGCGGCCAAAAACGTTTTTTCTTTGATCCATTTCGGCATCTAGCGACGCCGCAAGGCTATCGCTAAACTTGTCTGAGTAGGGTGGGGGGGGGGGGGGGTAGATGTCCCCCTCCCCAATAACCTGGCTATTTCCAACTCTGAGCGTCCTCGGAAGACAGGAGTGACGGCGTTACGTCGCACGTGTCACGCCGACCGAAAACGGAGCGTCGTTGAGAAGTGTACACTTGACGCGTTTCCTTGCAATCCATAGGAGGGGACTGAACTGAGGGATGGCAAGACACTAGATCTATCGTCATGCCACTCGACACCAGTATGTTTCTGTAGATCCTTTTGTCCCGGGTTTCGAACAGGGTCAAGCTGTGAGGCACATCCAGGCAGCATGTTGTTCAAGGCTGCGCCGGTATTTGACGATGAGAGTTTTCCGGCCTTGAGTTGCTATTCCTCCTTGGAAATGGTGTGTGGCGCAACTGGCATCTCCCACGCCTGAACTATACCTGCGCGGTGGGACGCATGGGCCCACCGTCCGGCGGCTCCTGACAAATCTCGGACCCTGCGCTCCTGACCCTACGGGCCCGACGCCGCCCCTTTTTCCCTGGACCTGTACCCCCGGCCCTGTGATTGCTGACCCCGTGTCCCTGACTCTGCGCCCCTGACCCTGTGTGCCCGACGCTATCTCTGCGCCCCTGGCCCTGTACCCCCCCCCCCCCCGGCCCTGTGATCGTGACCCTGACCCTGCGCTCCTGACCCTGTGCGTCCGACGCTATCTCTGCGTCCCTGACCCTGTACCCTCCGGCCCTGTGATCGTGACCCTGTCCCTGCGCCCCTGACCCTGTGCGTCTGACGCTATCTCTGCGTCCCTGACCCTGTACCCTCCGGCCCTGTGATCGTGACCCTGACCCTGCGCCCCTGACCCTGTGCGTCCGACGCTATCTCTGCGTCCCTGACCCTGTACCCCCCGGCCCTGTGATCGTGACCCTGACCCTGCGCCGCTGACCCTGTGCGTCCGACGCTATCTCTGCGTCCCTGGCCCTGTACCCTCCGGCCCTGTGATCGTGACCCTGTCCCTGCGCCCCTGACCCTGTGCGTCCGACGCTATCTCTGCTTCCCTGACCCTGTACCCTCCGACCCTGTGATCGTGACCCTGTCCCTGAGCCCACAACCCCGCGATCGCGAGCTGGTATCAGTCTTGCGGCCGCGCCCCGCTGCCCCGGTGGCCCGGCCGCGGTGTCTGTCGCCGCCGCCGGCCGCCGGGGCGCCACACCGGCCGGGCACGGTCGGAATGGCGGCCGGGCGGTGCGCTTGGCCGGCCGTCGGCGCCCGATGGCTGCCGGCGGCGTCAGGTGTCGGGTCGCGCCGGCCGCTGCCAGCGCCAGCCGGCCCGGCCGCTCCCCCGGGGCCGGTTGTCGCCGGCCGGCCGCGCCGTGTTCGCCCCCCGCCGCCGCTGCCGGCCGACGATGGGCGCGACTCGCTCCACGGGAAGGCCGTGGAGCGCAGACGATGCACCAGCCAAGGCCGCGCGGAGTAAGTGCACGTGCCACTTTGTTTCAAGCTGAGTTTTTGTGGCGAGGGGAATAGAATATGCTATTATTGGGATACGTCACATCGCCAAGAGCTATGGACCAGACGAGAGTCGACTCGTTTATCTGGCTTGCTACTCAGACGATACCGACTTCTGGCCGGTGAGCGGAGCTCTGAACACTGCTGGGAGAGGTGCCAGTCGAGCGTGATGTCTGGCGTCATGTATCTTCAGCCCCGGATGCAGCGTGACCCAGGCTTGATTTCCCGTGGCGAACGCCCGCCCCGGCCGTTCGCTGCCGCTCGGAGGGGCGGCCCTCACCCGTCAGCCCTCACTCAGCGCCGTTAATCAGTGACGTATGGGCCGCGGCCGCCGCCACCGCGCTCCGCGTGCCGGGCGTGTCGGCCGCCCTGCCCGGGGCCGGCTCCGTCGGCGGCGTGCCGCGCGCCGCCGACGCTGGGTGCGTACTCTGACCGCAGCAGAGCCGCAGTTCAAGATGGGGCGAGAGTGCGTTACGTTACGTTACGGAAAACGCTTCTGAAGGGAAATGGTTGACGGTCGGTTCGAGACTACGGTAGTTCCAGTATAGAAGTGTGGAGTGTAGGTCGGGCGAGTATTTATGCTGACTGGAAAGTGTATCTGTGTCGTATGCAATTGTGCAGGTTGAGGGCAATTACCTACTCGTGCTGATCACGTGTCAATGGCGGTTTGCGAAATTTTAACGCCTGCGCTGCGAAATTGGCGAATGAATGAATGGTGGAAAGAAGGAAGACAATCCATCACGTAAGGTCAAGGTTGAAGTGATGGATGTTGGCAGCTCACACCCCATGCGCTCAGATAAAGCACGTTACAACAGCGGTCGTGTAGGCGGTTCGTGTTATCACGGGCAAAGTGAATTTCCCCCGCGGAAGAGCTAACCTGGCCATCTGCTACATGACTGTCAGCAAATCCTGTCACAATGTTCGTATTTTGGAGCAAAGGTAACCATCTCGGTGACGCGGCCCGGCGCTTGAGTGGTTTACCGATGTGTCGGGCGCAGGGTAAAGAAGTAATGGTCCTCGAAATGCGTCAGCGTTGAGCGGTGACACAGTCATTAATCTCAGCGCCAAGTTCCGCCTTCATGGCTGCTGCAGGGGTCGGTATGAGTCACCCATTTGTTTGGAACATCGGTCTCAGGTTGTCGCCTCTTTGGCACTCGCTGTCTGCCGTTCTATTATGGCCACTCGGGAATTTCCCTCTGCTTTGTTTGCCGCCAAGTCGTCTTCGTCGTTGGGGCTTTACGACGCACCGGGCGGCATGGCGTCGCCCGCCTCTCACTGGCAGGGAGGGCGGACACCGCCGGGAATCGAACCCCGCGCCCTTGCTTCCCGGACGCGCTGCGGTTACACTGCACTATCGGCACCAATGTTTGCCGCCAATCCAGTCGACATTCTACTTTGGCCAGTTTTTTGCTCGCCGCCATTTAGCAGTGGGCACTAAGCGTTCGGCGAACAGCCGGTCACGACAGGAGCTCCCCCAGATTTCAGTCGTTCCCCGCCGCCCCTGCAGTGCAGCGCGGGCGGCTCACAGCTCCTGCCACGGCCTGGCTGGCGCCGGCTGGACATGTGCCGCACATGCGCTGTCTCTGTCGCGGCCTGGTTTGCTCTCGGCTTCTATTCACGCGCGTGAGGCAGCCCAGCCGGACGCGGGGCTTTCGGGAGTGGCCGGAGCCTGGTCGGGTGGGTCCCACGCTCCTGCCCCTGTGTCGATTCGGCGGAGTGTGGGTCCACATGGGCCCCACGCCCCCGTCTCTTTGTCGGTTCAGCGGGGTTAGGTTCCACATGAGCCCCACGCTCCCGTCTCTGTTGCAGGCCGGCGGCGGAAGTGGTTTGACTTGGAGGACGCCGTACGGGAGCTGAACGACAACAAGCCCGTGCAGTCGGGCTACCTCAGGTCAGTGACCCCGCGGGAGAGACCTCGTCGCCTGGCGCTAGTCAGGCGAACGTGAGTGGTCTCGCAGCGCGTCAGAGCTGACACAACACAACTGTTATTGGCCTGGTTGGCGACAGATGGTTTGCAACACGCTTTTTGTGCCAAGCCGGCGCTGGGTGTGATTTAACGTGTGTTACGTACTGCCTGGCATAGACGAAGGTTTGAACATTTTCGAACGAAGTTTGGCGTGATGGTTGACATAAGCACGGCGAAAAGTCAGGTGTTTGTGGTTCCTTGCTTGTTCCTTGTTTGTTGTTCCGAAGTCCATTACCCAATTACCATCGACATAAAACTTATACTCCTTGAGCTATACTCTGATTTCCCGTGAACTTTGCTCTATCACGGCGTGAGGCGTAGACCGCTCCCAACCAATCAGCTCGCGAGGAAACGCACTGAAAACATCGCAGTGCAAGTTGTGTCCCGCCTGCTCCCAAAATCTGCACGGATATTTGATCGATGGTTGCAAAGAGTTTTTCTGACAGAGCTGGACGGGCGTTTGGGACCGAGCCGCTCAAGTGGATGCTTTTCCCACGGTTTGGGCGGCCCGCCCCTGGTCTCTGGGCCGCGTTCCAAAAATTGGGCGCCATGTTCCGTCCCCGCGCGACCGCGCCCTGTCGCGCCAGACCGTCGGGTTGCGCGGTCTGTGCCCGGCCGCGGCCGGTGAGAATGTGCGGCGACCCGGCCGAGCCGACCGCTTGACACCGCAAGGCTGGCCACGTCACCGTCGAGACAGATGGACGCGCCCTGCCAAGTCGCATTGGAAGAGGACGCCTGAGGATAGCCGCGAGCAATAGTCTGTCGCCGCCCTGTGCGGCGATCAAGGCCAGCATTGTTGTCGCGGGCGGGGGCGTGCCAATCGGAGGCTGGGGCCCTGCCAGCGAAATCAGACTGACCAGCGGGCCCGCGGGCGCGGCTCCTTTAATTAAGGTCATGCTCGCTTGATGCCAAGCTGCTCCGACGACGTCTCGTGCGTGTCGGCACGAATGCGGCTGCCGCGGCACTTAAGAGGACTGTCACGGATATTGATCTGCGTGTTTGACAAGCCAAGATATGGGGTCGTAGTCGTGGCTATAGACGAGGGACAAAACGAAAGATCGAAGGACATTTCAATCGGACATGCAGCGGCAATGTATGGCGCCCAGACTGATGCTCTGTGACTGAGTGACTCAGGGTTCACCTCGTTTTGTATGTAACCCCTCACAGAGCCGGCGTGCGACAAACAAAGGGTTGGTCAGGTCATTTGACGAGGCAGTTTTTCGGTTTTCAACTCGCGGTAAATGCACGCCTCCTGGACCGCCTGTACATTTGCGCTCCTCATCTGTCCTGGCCCGATGTATGTTTACTGTCGCGTTGCGCAAGGATTTGACAGCCAAGTGGAGCCAGAAGTGAATCCTCCCGTCACCACGCCATCACCGCGTCGTCGCGTCATATTGCTGTCATTCCGTCACAAGTCTGGATTGGTGATAGCGTTTTTAAAGCGAAATGAACCTTGCATGGATGTAGAAGTCACAAATTGAACGACAGGCAGTCGGAGCACTGCACCTGCACTGCGACAGACTGGCGTCGCCCACAGTACGGCAGAGGACCTTGTGGGTCCCCTGGTGGGCTCGGAATCACGGGCAATAAAACTGTTAAGATTCTGTCTCGAGGTCAAGGTCCTAGCACTTGTGAACCGTGTTCGCGACGTGTTGGAAGGCTGTACTCAGTGATAATCCACTTCGATTAATCCTATGAATGATGGTAGCTGATGCAAAATAAAGCGAAAATAACGGCAGCGTTGCAAAAGATTATGGCGTAGTTTTGGCGCTAGCGTCAGGCGACAGAGGCCATCTGCCCCAAACGAACTCCGGTTAAACTCCCGGCGCCAAACTCCCATAGCCACTTGCGATGAATTCAGCGTCGCTAACGACGCTTTTGTCCACAGGTTACTCCTCAAGAGCAAAGAGAAGGATTCCTGACCAGGCCTGTAGTGCGGCCGGCGGCCGGCGGCTGGCGGGGGCGCCACCGTCGCCGCCGTCAGACGGCGGCGCTACGCTCGGTTGTGGACGGTGCCGATGGACCCCGCGCCCCGCACTCGACCGGCAGGTGGCGTGGCGTGGCGGGCCTGAGACGACGGGCGGCGCGCGACACGGGACGACCTCGGCCGGGGCTTCCCGGCCCTCACCCGTGCATAGGCAGAACCGCGCACGACACACGCTCTGGCAGTGGGAGGTCGCGGTTTTGCCCGTGCACGACATCAGATCTCGGGGCGCCGCCGGCGGCTGACCAGACGCCGCAGGACCGGACCGGACCGGACCGGACCGGACCGGACCGGACCGGACCGGACCGGGCCGGGTCGGGCCGGGCGCTTATCTCGTCCGTCGCCTGGTCGACTGACACCCATCCAGGCATCGCACTACGGCCGCCCGCTCCGCCGGACGTGGATAGTTTTGTATGGAGAGGCGGTAACCGCATTGCGTGAGCTTCATCGAAAGTATAGCTTTTTGAATTGTTTATCGGCCGTCGCCGGCTGCGCCTCGCCGCAAGCGGACGACCGCACGGCGCTCTTCAGCCGCTGCACTAATGCTTGCTCGCGCCCTCGCCGCCGGCCAGGAGCGCCAGTCGGTCAGCGGGCGGACGCACCGGCCCGCCGACGCCCGCGCCGGCCTCGCGCACGGCCGCTGAGCCGAGTGCCGTTTGTCGTTCGACGGTGATAACAGTGTTGCCATGTGCAATATCGTTTGGCAGGCCCCACGCCGCGAGGCAGCGGGCCAGCGTCAGCTGTTTCGGACGGCGTTTTGGCTGTTGCTGGCACGGCTGTGCCGTCTGGTCTCGTGTCCCTTCGAGCCTTTCTCTGTGATTTTCCCGTCGGTATGCTTGCGTTCTGGTGGACCTTCCATGTGCGTCGCTCGCCACGAAGGCGACTCGGCGCTGTACGAGACGGCGCGCTCTTTTGCACTGACACAGCACGGACAGGCGGCATCGGCCCGGCAGCGGCCGCCAAGCACGAAGATCTTCCCGCGGGAGTCGGCCGGTCGGGCCCTCCGGGCGTGGCTCCAGCGGTGTACTCCAGTGTTACGAAACTGAACGCCCTTTATTTTGCACGTGTTCGTGGTCACTGGGGCGGCGCGGCTGGGTCGCGAGGGGTGTGGTGCGCTGGCGTCGCGGTCGCCCTCCCCAACAGGCGGTCAGTACGGGTTTGGCGCCGCTCTGCTGCGCCAGCGGTGCGCGGGAGCCGGAGCGCCACTAGCGCCGCATCGTGGCGAGTTTGTGCACTCGAGCTGTGCCGCGCCGCCGCCAATGGGCTGGCCGTTCGCGCTGCTGTGCCGGGGCTGTGGCTGGGGACGGGCGCGGCCGCTGGAGCAGCGTCACGCTCGGCCGGGGACGGCCGACCGGCGCTCTCACACGCACAGCTCGGCACGGGCGCGCCGTGGACTCAGCACTTCTGTTAACCGGTCATGTGGCGGTGCTGTTTATTTTCGTGACGTGGATTCAATATATGAGATGGTCATCCTCCCGACTTAACCAGCGCAGCCGAGGCGATCCAGCGGTATTGGTGACCACAGGCCGCCGTCTAGCGTGCGGCGCAGCTCTGCGGTCAGTGATCTCGCGGGTCGCATGGGATAATGCTCGCCCTTGTGCATGCGAGATTACCGTTCTTGGCATTCTGGATCTGGGCACAAAGAAGCGCCTGGTGGAGTAATACCATAGCTTGTTAAGTTAAATTTCGTGAGCGGCGACAGAGATACCGGATGGAGGAATGCATATCTTGATTAAAAGCGAGGAAGGGGATTCGGCATGACTGTCCGTTGACATGCATGTTTTTGAGGACGGTGTGACCTTCGGGTCAGAACTGTATATCTGCACGGGAATCCTTTCACAGTTTTGCATCTGACACGGAGGAAGAAAAGGGAGCCCATACGTATAGAAAAGGCCCCATACATAACGTTGCTTTCGATGCATTAAGATGCACGTTGAAACACAGGGCTGGAAAACGTGTCAAGCTCTGTCAACAGGCTGTTGCACAGAAATGACAACGAAGGGGTTTTTCTTAGTTCCCAAGCAGGTGTGTCGCGTGGAAAGCAAACCCACGAACGTCCCCGCCCGCTGCCTACGGCTGGAGTGGAGCTGCGTATCAGCGCGCGCGCGCACATCCATGTTTCATGCTGAGGCTTTCCTACACTCGCATGCAACGCATGGCCAGTAATGTATGCATTGACATTTCCATTTGTATATAGTAAACGGCGAATATTTGTGCTTGGACGTCACCGCAGTACGTCTTTGAAAGGAGCCAGACTACGGAGCTACGTTCTCGTCTCAAGCATGTAATGAAGTTGTTAAGTCACGTCAGTGTAGAGAAAACTGCGAGCAGTTTACTTGGGGAAACGTCGGGGAAGGTAGGGAGGACGTGGAACGTCCTAGTGTTCCCCGACCGGCTGAGACGCTTGGGGGCTTTCCATGTTTTCTCCAGCCGAGCCCCGGCCGTCGGCCATCGTCAGTGCCAAGGATTCCATTTCGTGCTCCCTAGCGCTAGCTCTGGCTGAGGCTTTAGTGGCAGCCTCCAGGAGCGCTTTCTTCAAAACCAAAGGTACTAACGTGGTAACAGATCTGCGCGAATTAAGTGCAACCAGAGAAAAAAAGAACAGAACGACACTTCCCCGCTGCATCAAACACGGTGTCCTTTATTAAAAAGTTTCGAAAACCTGTATTGTATGCATACACTCGTACACACCTTACGCGGTCCGTAGCGCACTTTCAGGCACCAGAAATTTGGACCGCCCCGCGCCTGTGACAGGGCGCCAATCCAGCAATATGACACGTAAAAGACACTACGCGAGCACTCCCATACTCCCCCGCCCCTCCCAATGAGATGATGGAGGGTGTGGACAGGCCACTGATGCGACAAGTCTTCCCGCATCTGTATTGGATGATGGTGCCGCTGATGACGGTGACGGAAGACGACGCCACTGCTGACGGCGTGGAGCAGGACGGCGATTCGGCGGCCGCGGGCGTTGCCAGGTGGCGCTGCGGTCGCACGCGGAGCGGAGCCGCAGCCGCCGCCGCTCAGCACTCGTGCACGTCCACACACTCCCCGCCCTCCAGCTCCAGCGAGTCGGCCGTGTCGGCCGGGTTGAGCGTCTCGCCGTCGAACCGGAACCTGCGCACGTCCGGCCCGGTCAGCCGGCGGCCGGGCGAGCCAGGGTCAGCAGCGGCGTCCGCCGGCGCGCGCGCCACCAGCGGCGTGCGCGGGACGCCAGCGCCCAGCGCGGTCACAGATCCGCGGGCCCGGCATCGGCTCCATCGCGGCCAGCCTCGGAACGTCAGCTGACCAAACCTATAGCAGAGGCGAAGCTGACCTGCCCCAAAACCGCCCTCACCCTAGGACTCGGTCCCAACACTGCCCTCGGCTAGACCATGACAGCGGCCCACAGCACCTCCCTCCATCCGCACACCTGGCCGATGTTGGCCTTACCCCACCTGACCTGACCTGACTTGACCTGACCTCCGCCGCCGCCCGCCCGTGGCCGGCTCACCGGCGGCCGCCGCGTCACCCGCCTCACCTGAGCCGGTCGAGGGGCCTGCCCCGCTGGGCGGCGTACCGCGCCATCAGCGACGCCATCGTCTCGGTGCGGGCCAGCCGCAGCAGCAGCGTCGAGCGACGGTCGGCCGACTGCAACTTCAGCTCCACCGAGTTCGGCCCGGGCGGACCGTCCGCCGCGGCGTCCGGCGCCGCGCCAGAGCCCTCCCAGAAGTCTGCCGCGCGCCCCGGGCGGGTCAGCAGGTGCCGAGGTGGGGTACGACGGCTCAATACCAGTGCGGGGTGTGAGACCGTTTGGTTTTGGGCCAAGGAAAGGCGCAATTGAGCGTGGGTGTATAACGTGCCTTGCTGGGGTTGAAACGATCGACGGAAAGGAGAGAACAGCGCGAACAGGCCTTGGGAGGACAATGCGCAGATAATTTTACAAACGTGTCGGCTCTAACTGAGCGCAAAGGTAAACAGGTGCCCCTACGAAACGACGTTTAGACTGCCACTGGTTCAAATACAGCGTGTGGACGCATTTATGAATGAGCTAGTGCCATTTTTTTAAGCACATGGAAGGGAAGGCGACAAGGCTGTCGTTGGAGGGAGACCCGTAACACAAGCTAATTTCTCATCTGATTTCCTTTCTCTCGTGAAATGCAACCACAAGTATTAATACAAAACAGATGGAGGCAACAAAAAAGCATTCAGAGGTGACGAGTTCGCACGACATGATCTGGGACTGCGCGGGTTCGCGTCACAGTGCGGAGCAGCCGCGCCTACAGCTACGGCTACGGCTACGGCTGTGGCTACGGCTACGGCTGCGGCTCACCGATGACGTCGAATGCGCCCAGCCGGACGTCGTCAGGTGTCTGATGCGGCCGGTACACCACGTCCCGCTGGCCGAGGTAGACGCGTCCGACGGGCAGCGACAGCTGCTCAGCCACCGCCTCGAACAGACGCCGCAGCTCCTCCGACTAAACGGGGACGGGCGCGCATCAGCGCGGCAGGCACGATCCCTCGCTCCGTGCCCATTCCTGTACCTGGGACCATGCCCGTGCCCGTGCGCGTGTCCGTGACCGTGTCCGTGTCCGTGCCCGTGTCGGTGTCCGTTCCTGTACCCGTACCCGTGCTCGTGTCCGTGTCCGTGTCCGCGTCCGTGTCCGTGTCCGTGTCCGTCCCAGTACCCTTACCCGTGTCCGTGTCCGTTCCTGTACCCGTGCCCGTGCCCGCGCCCGTGCCCGTGCCCGTGCCCGTGCCCGTGCCCGTGTCCGTGTCCGTCCCAGTACCCTTACCCGTGTCCGCGTCCGTGTCCGTTCCTGTACCCGTGCCCGTGCCCGTGCCTATGCCCGTGCCCGCGCTCGTGTCCGTGTCCGTGTCCGTCCCTGTACCCGTGTCCGTTCCGTGCCAGTGCTCACACCGCCGACCCCGTGCTCACTTCCGCCGACCCTGCGCCGCGCACTAACCCGTCGCATCCTGAGCCGGATCAGCAGCGGTCCGGCCTGGACGCGCGCCGTGAACTCCGGCTCGACGGCGGCCGGGGCCGGCTCCGGCTGCGCCTCGGCGACGTCCTCCTGCAGTGCGCCACACGACAGTCACGCGGCGGCAAAGCGCGCCAGTCGGTCGTCGCGCTCCTGAGCGCTCCCTAACAATAGACGGGGGCAGAATCGCAAGGCACCTCGTCCGCAAATGTGACGACTTCAGAAATTTCCAGATAAAATTGCAACGTCGGATTTGATTATTTTGATTTTGCTATGCGCGTACTCGTGAGCATTTAAACGTACAAATTTGGGCCCCACATCATCGTCGTGCGTATCGACTCCACCCGAAAGCGGCCTCCACAAACGACACGCGTCCACAAGCCGTAGGGCGTAGCCATGCGTCTGGCAGGCGGACGGCAGCACCACTGCGCCAGCTGGGACCGGACGCACCTGGGACAGCTGACTGAGCAGGTCATCCACCCAGCGGTCCGGCTTCGGCGATAGCTCCTCCGGACTCGGGTCCAGCTCTCTGCGAGCAGAGCGGGACTGTGGTGGGCGGAGGTGCAGCATACACGCGGCTGGTCACGGCGCAGTGAAGGAAGGACACTAAACACGCAGATAGGAAACCGACGCGGCGTAGCGGTTCACGTTCTAGGATGCTAACGCACGCGTGCTTTTTGATAAACACACGACCGGCTCTTGGTGCTAACCGGTCCTCGCGCTGAAATATGGCGACAGCGACGTAGAAAGAAATCAGTCAATCATTCGCGGTGGCTGCCACCAATCAACCGAATGGGATGACCCGAGATGCATTTCACTACGCCTGGGAGACCTCGCACAACGCGTTTAACCACCTCGTGGCTGAAGCAAGCCATTCGGAGCCGCACTCGACCCGCCGCCCGCAGGTAACAGACGCCCCCAGTCGCGCCATCCTCCAGCGGTGGGCGCCTCGGCACCTCCGCCGGCGCGCGCCGCTCGACGAGCTTACCCGGTGCCGCGGCCGCGGCGTCGCTTGCCGCGCCTGGGGCCGTCCTCCGCGGGCCGTTTGGTCGGCCGGCCCGCGCCGGGCTCGGGGCTGCCGGCCGCCGGCTGCCGCTCCGCGCGCGCCAGCCGTTCCGTCGCCTCCTGCTTCAGCTCTGCGGACGCAAGGGGAGGGAGCGTCGGAGCTAGCGGGCCGGAGACGGGCGCGGCAGTACGGTCTGCCACACGATCACCGTCAAACACGGACGGCGGCGACGTGATGCTCTTCCACCAGGCACACCCAATAGAGGGACGGTAAGACAGGACAGGGGGAAGGGGGAGAGGACGGAACGGAGAAGGGACTGCGGCGGAAAACGGCAAACTTAAGAACGAGAGGCAGGGTGCTGGTAAGGGAACGGAACGGAGCGGAACTCTGGGTACACAACGATGGAATGGTGTCAGAAATGGGAGGCCAAGCTCAAATGCAGGCCACAATGCCCGGAAAGGCAGGCACAACAAGAGATGCTGCCGGAAGTAATGGCAAACAGGAAAGCAGCTGGGAGCTCCAACAGCAAAAGCCAGGAAACTGACGTTATATGCTGTTGTGGTAGGCTCCAGACAAAACACTTCCCAATGTCTACTTAATTTGCTGCGGAAACAAAACTTCTGCGGCCTGCTGGCATGTGGCTGCATCCACCCATTACTAATCGAGGTACCTTGCATGCTCGCATCGCACGATATCAGCAGGTAACATTGCAGAACTTGCCTTCATAGCGTCGAAGCGTTTTTACAAATATACTATCTTCTTCATCATCCATGTCACTGAGGTGCACAGATCCATCGCTGTCAACGTGGTCACCTTCATGACCGCCGCCGCGCTCCGCCTCTTCCACGTCATCGTCCCCGGCGTCACGTTCACAACCGCGTGCCTGCGGTGCAGCACTCGGCGCCTGCTCAGCTACCACGACCTCTTCGTCTTCATCATCACTTATTTCGATGACACAGGTGGAATCCATGTTCTGTAGAACACGGAGTAAGACAACGTCAGGCCCGCCGTCTGAAGAAAATCATGTTATCACTCGCTGGGCCAGCAATAACTTCATGTGACATGAAAGACATCATGTTTGTGTGCGGACACAAGACAATGAAAAATGATAAACATTGAACACTGCATGGTGCAAACACATCCTGAAAGAAGAATGTCATCTTTGCAGGCCATTACAGCAACCCTATCCATAAAATGAGAACAGGTAGCTAGCACAACACACAACACCATTAATGCACCAAGATAGTCTGAAGCATACAACGAGCAATCTAAATTCTACTGAATTTCTGGTTCAAAAGTTCTTGCCACCAGTTACATGCGTATATCCACACACACACGCGCACGCGCACACACACACACACACACACACACACACACACACGCACGCACGCACGCACGCACGCACGCACGCACACGCACACACACACACACACACACACACACACACACACACACACACACACACACACACACACACACACACACACACACACACCCACACCCACACCCACCTACACCCACACCCACACCCATACCCATACCCATACCCATACCCATACCCATACCCACACCCACACCCACACATACACACGCTCGCGCGCGCACGCTGAATTACATGTTTTGATAGCTTCGGGTAAGTTTTAAATTTCGAACGTTTTGAGATTTACTTTTGACATAGCCAAAGATGGATCAGACAGACCATATTCATCTTGAAAGGTAGTTCACCAAGAGACATGGGTCATCTTCTCATATATTCGTGGTTTGGCGTTTCGGATACATCGTCCATTCTCTCCATTCTCAAAAGCAGTACGTGGCGCTTCATTTCATGCCGGCAGTTGATTCCTTAAAAATCAGAGCATAAAACATCAGCACACAAACAACGACGTATTTCTCATGAGGATAACGGCCAGTACCGTTTTGGCCCAGCAAAAACAGACCATCCTATAGCTGCGCAGAAGACATCATTAACATCACACACGGTGACCTACGCCATCAACATGACGAATCACAATACTAAGTGCCGATGACCCAATCCCCCATTTGGGTTCATCAGTGCCATATTTCTAGCCTGAATGATTTAATGGTGATGTTGCTCCAAAGAGATAATTTTCGAAGTTTGGTTCATTTGTCTGTTTAGTACTAGTGTGTGGTCGTGAATGATTAATGCATCCAGAATGTTGCAGTTTCTTGCAACATGTCCAGATGCTAAACTTTGCGTTTTGTGCGAGCATTTGACACGTGGGACGAGTATAACTGTGGTCGCGTTGCATGTGGTCCCTTGACGCCCCTTCCGTGACGGAGATCGTCAGGCGTTGGGACGATGTTGTTGTTACACCAATTCAGGGCACGGAACACAGCCTGCTACCTTCATTAGCGCAAGGCAACGCGTATACTACAATGGCGCGCTTCAACGTCTCTGTCTTGGTTGTTGTTTTTCATAAAGAGGTTTCTAGTTTTGCGACTTTTCAAATATGGCTGCACTCTAAGCATATTTCCGTCTACCACTGACAAGTTTTTGGACACTTAGATTTTCAATAACTTCCCATTTCATATAGTTACTCATATAGTTACTCCAAACTCATACAGTTAGGGTGGATGTTGTGGATTAACTGGTTTTCAGGTTTTTGATGATTCAAGTAATTACCAAGCATTATTTTTCTTGGTCCACTTAAACATTAATGTACCCATTGTTTGAAATTATTGAGTCTGACATCAGAAACCACATAACTTGTACACACATGGCCTACTTTCAAGGGCTTTGATAACACTCATTTTAACAAGTCAATGAGCACAAGAGCGAGAGCATATAAATTTATGGCAGTGACTACTGGTGCCACAGGCTAAACAGTATAGCACCAATTAAATGGCAATTCTAAAGCTTCAGCAGCCAAGCAGAGTTAGTAATGACTTTGGGGAGGTATTTGTCTTTGCAACCACTAATCAAGGCATGTGAAATGAAAGTGAGAAATTGGAACAAAATGGGTCACCCCGAGGGCAAAGTCCTATTTCCTGGCATTAACTCTGCTCACCTCATGTGAAATACAAAGGTGACCTGGAGCAAGCACAAAGTTTGGTGACTGTCCAACCTTGAAAGAATAACAGTGGCCTTTCTACACCATAGGTGCCATCTAAAGTGGCACCCGTGGTGTTAGAGCTCACAGGTTTCAGGGACACTCAGAGGCAGACCAATCACAACATCATTTTAACAAATAATGGTTGAAAACATCTGTGGACATAAAACTGTCATAACACTTGAAATACAATAAACTGCCTGTCTTTTTCAGATAAAACCTGAAGGTAATACAAACCTTATATTTTTACTAACAATGCATGACAGCATAAACCCAAATAAATCTGAAAAGGTAGAGATAGGGATGGTAAATGTCATCTGCCGGGTTATATGTCCGGCATTTGCAGGCAAGCACCCAAGTTCTGTTATACCAGTGGGTCAGGGCCTTGAGGGCCTTAGCATGGAAAGACCTCACTCCATTCATACTGCTAGCCATTGCCAGTGCATACAATCTGTGTGTTTCTTAAAATTTTGCCCTGGGAGGTTAAGGCATAAACAAGTCATAATAAAAGAAAACTGCTACTTCAAAAGTGGAGCACTTCATGCAGTTTTTGCCCTATGTTTTGAATGTCCATATCCCTATTTACAATGATGTGGATATTCCTTGTTTATGCCACAAGCATGGGGAACAAACCACAAAGGAGCACCATAGATAATAAGTACCTTCTTAGGAATACTTGAAAGCAACTGAGAAATCCTATGAATATGGCCAATTTGAATATAATATTGTGCACATTGTGCCCAAAATGTGAAATTTAATGTGAACATAAAACACGACAACATGAGATACATGCATCAGTTTGTAAATCAGTTGGAGGGGGTCAGCCCATAAGGTTGACCTACCCTGCACCTGAAACACAGCCTCTTCCCTGACTTTAGCCACACACATTTGCATTCCTGATGTCAAAAATATTTGCAGAAGGGCTTCCCACTTCAAGCCTTGTGATCTTGAAGCTTTGTGAGAAGCCTAAAATTAACTTAAATTCACAGAAAACATCTCAGTAACATGGCCAATATGACCACTGGAAGGGTAATCCAAAGCACAAAAATGTCATTTCGAGCTGAATGGCATGGCCTGACACACAGACTAGAGCAGAGTGCACCTCATACATGTTCTGTGGAAACACTACAGAAAATGCATTATTTACTTCTAGTACATACCTTCAGACATCAGCACAACACCTTGTATTGGGTGTTGGGATGTGAATCTGAATAACTGGAAAGTTCATGATGCTGGTGTAATGATTTTGAGCTGTGATGTTCACAGTAATGGCTAAATGTGTATCTCATATCTTGAAACCAACATTATAGGTAAAAGCTGCTGTTGTTCCGTCCATTTGTTTGTTGTTGTCCTACTCTCAGTAATACCAGGTTAAAAACCTGCCAATATCTGCATGATGGCCTAGCATATAAGGATTTGGAATGACAACCATATAGGATATGTACAGGACTCCATCCAGCATTCTCAGTACGCAGTGCGCATACATACTCTTTCATCGAACGTATCACCAAGCGGCGCCACAGGCACTGCGGAAGACCACTTTAGCTTCAAAGCAAGGTCATGCACTTCAAAGCAACCCCGCTCGACGCAGTCAAAGCTGACAATTATTTTTGAAAAACGTGACGCCAAGGCCCAGCGAAATCAAATCAACACAAGTGCGGAAAATGCCAAACTTTCTGCCAAGTATGGTCGACTAGCCCAGGTTTATTTAAAAGACCAGCCAAGGTTTTCTCCAACTGACGTCATGTTTAAGGTTTCCGGACAAACAGACGAATTGAAAAGACGAAAGAACAGAGCCGAACAATAAGTTGAGAGGGATAAGAATCGACAGAGAAAATGTTGATTTGGAAAAAAAGACAGAGAACAAAAAGTCGACAGGGATAAACGTCGACATAGTTTACAGACAAAACATAAAAATTCGACAAATGTAAGGAAGGAAAGGATATACGCCGAAAGACAGTACATCGTCGGGGATAATCTACTCTGATATGTAAAACAGCGGGAGTTAAAACGATTTCAAGCAGATGGGTAGTCGGGATTGTCGCCTTTTATAAGAACAGGATAAAACTGGTCACAAGGAGAAACGGATGGGACTGGAAGGGACTAGATGGCACGGAACAGGAGTGGGCAGGACCGTACGGGACCAGATCACACCGGAAGGTACTGGGCGAGACCAGATGAGATGGGATCGGATCGGATGGAACTGCACGAGACCACATGGGACGAGATGGACGGGACCTCGCCGAACCGGACGTCGGCAGACGGGACCACGGGTGGCTGCACACGATCAGGCAACAACGAGCGTCACCGGACGTGGTCGAAAGGGACCCGACGGGACAGGACGAAACCAGACAAAACCGGACGGAACCGCACGAGATCAGACGGAACTAAATGAGCATGGCGCTATTGGAAGGGGCAGGATGGGTTGAAACAATTTTTAACCCAGCCTTTGTCGAAAGCTGCTACTTAAGGGCCTCCATGTCTGTTGTCTGTTGTCTGTTGTGCGACTGCGTCGGCCGTAGACCTGTGCGTGCGTTATTGAACCCTAGAAATGCTCACATTGTGTGGAACGGTGCCGGACACAACATGTGATGACCATTATCATTTATGACCGCCTTAAGCTTCTAATTATTCGACCAAGGGCATAGTCTCGCAAAATGAGTAGGAGGAAGGGGTGGGCGGAGCAGGAGAAAATTATGCAACTAACCTTCAAAACGCCAATAAATGAATTTCCCCCGGATACAGACCACCTCCTTTCGAAAACTGGGTAGGGGGGGGGGGGCTATAGCCCTCCCGTCCCAACTGAATAGGAAACTGCACCCTTGTGTTCAGCATTATCAGTTGAGGGTTCCTATGCCGAGTTATCGACCTTCAGTATTCTATATATTCAATATCGACCTGTAATGGTAGTGACTTGCAAACTTCCTGTCGGAATTTGTTGCTTTGAACTTTTCGTCTTCTGGTTTTGGTTATCTATCCCGCTTAACTTTGATCCCTATCGACCTTTGCTTCTTTAGATTTTCATCATTTCAGCTCTTACCAAGTTGAGTATTTCGTATTAGGCTTAAATCCCTGTCGACTTTTTGTCCATCGACTTTTTCGATCGACTTTTTCCACTCGACTTTTACCCGGACACCCATACGTAAACTATGCTACATAAGTACGTCATATGTGCAACGTCCAGGTAGAGCAAGCCTTGCTTGAACAGCGAGAAGATTTGTGCTTGACCTGCTCGACCGTGAATACCGTAGATATCTTTGCAAAGTTAAAAATCAGTTGAAATCAGAGGACAGGACGGACCGTGCCAAGCATTGCGGCACGTAGAGCTTTTACCACTAAATTATTCCGCTGACCTGGAATTGTGCGATCGGATAGTGGTGGTCAAAGCTCACACAACAAGCACTTCTAAGCGTGAGCCCTGCTACTAGAATCCGTCCATTCAAAAGGCTCGAATTACATTGTTAAAAATCCATCGTGTGGGTTCATGTATTTCGAAGCAAAAAAGGTAGGCAGGAATGAAACAGTTGTGCTCTGTGGACTGTCGGGCACCGGCAGGCAAACCGCTGGGTCGGGCGGGCTTTTCCAGCAAAAATGCAACGACATCCCGATTCCACCTCCATATCCAAGTAATTCGGAAAATGCTTATTTTGCTATTGCAAAGGAGTACCTGATGCACATGAGCCGAGACCGCATTTAGATATCGACGACCCGACTGGCATTGATAGAAATTAATAGATCCTGACGGGGAAGAAAGCAAGTAACCGTATTACGACGCATGGGTCGATGCACCTACACAAGCATAAGGGTAGGAGCTGGGGTTCCTTCGGTGACACAGTAACCCAACTTCAAAAGAATGTTGATCACTCACCCTGCGACGACGCATGCAAAGAATCTGCTTCAAAATTAGTATTGGCACCCTCACTGCCTGAGACGCTCCTCTTGCTATGTACACAACTATGTAGAGAGGGCCACGTACCGCCATGCAGAAGCGACAAATCCGCCCATTTCGAGGCGATTTTAAGGACTGGTATCTCCGACGAAGACGGAAGACGGAAGAACCAAGACGGAAGAGCCAAGTATATGACATCGGAATAACCAAGCAGATGATATCTCTTGTAACGATTGCCAAGGGATAGGCGCAGAGGCGGCACCTTATATACTTTCCGGGGGCCTGGGTCCCCTTCTCCCTCTTCTCCAAGGCTGACTTAACCCCGCCCAGTGCATATGAGCACGACAAAACTGGGTCAAAGGATTGCAAAAAAAATTATCGTGACTTTTCGTACACTAGGTACCTAGCCAGATCGCAATAAGGGACACTTTCAATTTGTACCTCATGGTATCATGTGCGTGCCTTCTGTTTTGTCATGTCAACTCCTTCATACATTAGGCCGGTTTGTAAATGTTTGTCATATTTTTCTCATGATCGCACATGGATTGGAATATAGCGCGATTTGCTGCAATATGCGGGTGTTTTTGGAAGTACAGGGTGGCCCAGAAAAAGTTGACACATGTTTCCCTCAACAAGGGCAAGTGTAGTTGTAGCAGTGCGCGAAATAGCACCAGAACCGCCCAGGTGGGTATCAGAGCGGTAGCGATATGATGCTCTGAGGTGGCGTAGACGCGGTAAGATACCGTCCAGATGGGCATCAGAGCGGCGGCGATATGGCGTTCTGAGGTGGTGTAGACACGATAAGATACCACCCAAATGGGTATCATAGCGGTAGCGATATGATACTCTGAGGTGGTGCAGACACGGTAAGATACCGCCCAGATGGGTATCAGAGCGGTAGCGATATGACGTTCTGAGGTGGTGTAGACACGATAAGATACCGCCCAGATGGGTATCATCTGTAGCGATATGATACTCTGAGGTGGTATAGACACGGTAAGATACCGCCCAGATGGGTATCAGAGCGGTAGCGATATGACGTTCTGAGGTGGTATAGACACGGTAAGATACCGCCCAGATGGGTATCAGAGCGGTAGCGATATGACGTTCTGAGTTGGTGTAGACACGATAAGATACCGCCCAGATGGGTATCATCTGTAGCGATATGACGCTCTGAGGTGGTGTAGACACGGTAAGATACGGCCCAGATGGATATCAGAGCGGTAGCGATATGGCGCTCTGAGGTGTTGTAAACACGGTAGGATACCGCCCAGATGGGTATCATCTGTAGCGATATGACGCTCTGAGGTGGTGTAGACGCGGTAAGATACGGCCCAGATGGGTATCAGAGCGGTAGCGATATGGCGCTCTGAGGTGTTGTAAACACGGTAGGATTCCGCCCAGATGGGTATCAGAGCGGTAGCGGCATGGTGCTCTGAGGTGTTGTAGACACGGTAAGATACTCGTTCTCTTCCCCAAAGAGGCGTTTTCTGTGCAGTTATGGTTTGACGAATGTGAAAGCTGTGGTTGGATTTTTTTGTTCTTGTCACAGTTTGCCATTGAATGGTCATTCGAACACCACCGCAGTCTTGATAGTGCGAAAAATACACACGCCACTATTTAGGTAAACATGGATTGCTTTTCCGAGGCCACCTGGCATGAACGTCAGTTTCAAAAATACACCGCCCGTTTTACCTCACACCTTCACTACTTCTTTGTAAACTGAGTTTACCATTAAACCGAGATGGGGATGGGCAGATCTACACGCCGCTCTCCCAATTTGTGAGATCAAGACAGTTTTTTAGCGGTCAAGGGACGTGCAAAATTGTAACGCAGTATCATAAAGCTGTGATTAATTTTCATTCAGAGATTTCGTCCGAACCTTTTGATTGGATGTATTTCTGGGGTCAGCACCCACGCCAGTCAATGCTTGTTTAATGACCCCTGACACGATCGTAAAATCCTGCGTCAATTGCAGGCATCTGCGGCGAAAGTTTAACATGCCGCAAAGTTTGACCCGGTACATCGTTCTGAGGTGGTGTATACTCTGACGTTCCCTGACCACTGAGGGCGTACCAAAGGTAGTGCTCCCGCTGCCACCGTCTGTGGGCTAGCCCGGTCGAAAACAAAAAGCGAACACCTAAAGGGACTCGAACCCACATCGCTACAATCTGTAAATCGGAAGGCAGGCACCCCAACCAGCTGAGCTATCAAGACGAACTAAGGCGCGTTGCGGGACGGACGATTTAAAGTACAGTTTGGTGGTGTATCTGCCGCCTGGTTACACTACAAAAGGGTGTCTGTTGCGTAGTTATACCACAAAGGGTGTCGAGGAATGGAATCAACGCGTTTTGTGCTTGGAGTTCCAAAGTAAATGAAATTTTGGGGCGGCGTTGATCGACTTTTGAGAAGCAATCTCACCACGAGCATAGCTTTGAAACATCGGATTGCTCAATATAATCAGCGTTTTTTATAACGTCACTTAACCACTGCCTCCTGGAATACCTACTGAAGGTCGATCATTTTCGATATGAGAATTTATAATTATTAACCCTGAAACATAAAGATTCGAGGCCTTTTCACTGATGTCAGCCTCGAACACCTGTCGAAGCGTTGGCAACACTATTTTTACGATGGCTTTTCTGGGCACCTATGCGGTCACCAGTCTTTATCCACTCTATCCTTCCTGTTATCAACTTGTCTGTTGAGAATGGCGTGTCAGTTTAAGTTTACTTTGATATATATAT